ATCATCTCCGCAGCCAACAGTAATTATGCGATATTTGGATGACTACTTCGCAATCTGGTCGCATGGAAGAGAAAAATTATACGATTTCCTGATCTTCATAAACAAAATGGATGAAAAAGTCATATTTATCATGGATGTGGAAGAGAACGGAGACTTACCTTTCTTGAATGTGGAAGTTATTCGCTTCAGGGAAAATATCAAGAAAAAACTTTTCCAAAATAAATCATAGAGGGGAATAACTCTTAACTTTCAGGAGAACTATACTTATAAGATGCAGATTGGAATACTCCGACGTATGATCATAAGAAGCTTACGACTGACTGATTCTGAGTTCTGGGAAGAGGAACCGGGAAAACTAACTCAGATGCTTCTTGGAAACGGATATCCAGAAGAAGCAATACAACGCACCATACAGATGAAGCTGAACCGATGGAAGGATGAAATCAAAAGGAACAGAGGAAAAAAATGGATAAGTCTACCCTCCTGTGAATTTACTCGGAGGCTTCTGCCGATGCTATGGAAATGGATTATTCATACAATCATGAAGAAAAGGACAACCCTATTCCCCATTTCGCCAACCCATCATGAAGAATTCAATAAAATGGAATGTTCCGCATCAGCAGCATAAACTGCAAAGACTGTAAACAAAAATACTTCTGGGAGACGGAAGGGACAATCAGCACAAGAATCTAAGAGCACCAGCGACTATGCGGACAAATGGGTATAGAAAGATCGGAGCCAGTTAAACATATCTTCCTTACCGGCCACGCAATTGACTGGAATGCCACGGGAAGACTGGCTTCAAATGGGGAAAACATGAGAAAACGGAAGATCAAGGAGGCTGTGGATATCCTATTCTAATGAAACCGGATGAACAGGAGATCAGAAGAGGTAGGAGTCAGAGATACTTTCGCGCACTGTCTGGGCAGACTTGGAGATTCAGCGAGGAAATCAAAAAGAAGACTCTTGGACCCAGGGCAACAGTTCAACAGGAAGAGACATCAACAAGGAGTCGTTCATGTAGGACGAGGAGAGGTCAAGAAAAGGCAGCAAACCCGGAACTGGCCAACAATTCGCCCAGGGGGTTCAGTCGTGAGACGTAGGATGTGAAATTAAAAGCCAAATGTCTATGTTGGCCAGAGATAGATCACCAGTAAATGCGCTTGCGTGCTTGTGGACATTTTGCGTGTCTGTACCTGAAATGGAGGCGACTGGTGACACGCACGACCACGGGGGATACCAGCTGGAGAGCATATGAAGTACCCTAAGATTAGATAGGAGTGTCAACATGAAGGACGAGAAGAGTGGACATTAGCATCATTTGCTCTGAATCCTCGAATATGGTGCAATCGAGGAAGAAAATTTGAGACTTTTAGACAGCCAAGCAGGCATTTTTAAAGCAGTTGTTTGACCTTGTTTTCGCAACTGGGACATATTGGTAGGAAGACCTAGAGGGACGCATCTAGTCCGGAGTCCATAGTATGCATGATAATGTTCAGTCGGAACTTGGAAGTGGTACATTCCCAGAAGTTTCGCCGGAATCGTCAGTGAGACTTGCCAGCCTTAGCACTACACTACAACTCGTCGAAAAGACAAGTGAAGCATCCTTTTACCAGTTGTCTGCAAAAAATCGTGGTATTTCTCCTTCCGCCCCGGGCTAATCCCCAATTCTATATCCTCGTATCACGCATTCACTATCACAATTTTATACTTGTTTATTTAAATGTGGTGTGGTGTGTACTTTCAAACGGGTTTCATGAAAACTCTCCAGACCCCTTCATCCTTGTGCTCGGAATGTGGATCAGAGTCTGCCCAATTGTTGCGCAGTACTCCTTCCACAGGTCTTTTCAGAGTCTCCCTCTTGCCCCGTAGGATCCGTCTGCTATCTCCCTGGTGCAAGTATTTCGCTCGACCCCTGCCACCCCATCTGTGCTACTCGAGGCGTTATTTGCCACACTCTGCCTGTGGGAGGATAACATGAGGCTAAAGCCCCTGAGTTATTCTCATGGTTGCTACATGGAACACGTTTATGGTAAAACAAACCTTCTGTCAGACAACTAGCTCCAGTCTTCGTCGCGTCTATCCTCGTTCTATCCCTAATACCAAGTCCATCACTTCCTATTTCCTAGTCTCTTGTGCGCCAACCCTCAAATGTTGTGGTTCTACTTGTTTTGATTAGGCTCACTGAAGACGTTTCCTCTTGGCTTCTGATTGTTCCTTTCTGGTCTCCTTGTGATTTATTTTCCAAAAATTAAAGAGGTTATCTTGATCCAGTCGTCTTCTTTTTGCTGAGCTTACTGCTGCCTGGTCTTTTTCGAGTTCGTTTAGCCAATATGCAAAATTTTCGAGGATCTTGCCTTTTTCAGATCTTCTGTTCATTGGATTTCTCTCGGTCAGTATATCGATGGCCTCTCGGATTTTGCGTTTTCTGCAATATTCACCATATGCAGGCAGACTCTCTGTTGATCTCCAGTCGATTTCCGATCGTGCAATGTGTTCGGCTATTTCAGATCTTTCGGTATCCATGCTCTTGTCGAGTCTTTGATGTTCCTTGCTTCGTATACCGATTTTTATTCCTGTTTTGCCAATAGACTTCTGCTGACAGTTGCCGCATTTGATGCGGGAAATTCCCGAGCAATCCAATTTGTCAGTCTTCTCGTGTTACTTCGACAGACTGGTGAAAAGTATTGTGTTCTCCCTCGTTATCACTTTGATGTGCCATTGCTTTAGCAACGGTGGTAATTTTTGGCTCAGTTCAGATGGGGGCAGGCAAATCCACTTTTGGTCGTCCTCCTGATTCGCGATCGGATTTTCATATAATCCGAGCTGAAATATGCTCTTTATGACATCTACATTTCTTTCTATAAATCCTTTGCGGTAAATCTATGTCAGTTTGTCCAACTCCTCGTCCCAGAACTCAGTGTTCGTTAGTCGTAAGCTTATGACCATCAAACTCCTCAGTATCCCGATCTTTGGTCTCTAGTTATGGTGAGACCGAAAATTAAGGATTATTTCCACATATGAATTCTTTCTGTATAGTCTCCTTATGAGTGTCCTGTTGGAGCACATGACTTCAATATCCAGAAAGGGTAGTCGTTCATTCTCCTCCATTTCCATATTGAATTTAATTCTTTCATCAAGCTGGTTAATGAAATTGAGGAATTCCCTCTAATTTTCCTTGCCATGTGACCAAAGTGCAAATTAGTCATCCAAGCAACATATAAGCACTCTTGATTGAAGTGGTGATTTCTCGAATTTCCTTTCCGATTTGTCCATTTTTAAATTTGCCAAAAGAGGTGAGAGGGCAGATCCCATCGGTAGTCCAAATATTTGCTTGTAGATACTGCAATTAAATGTAAAATATGTGGTCCTTACTGTCAGGTCAATCCGTCGTGTTAACGATCCCTTCCGTATCCGTTCTGCCTCCGGGATATCATCTCCTCGCCCTAATATCTCCAGCAAGGCGCTTAGCATCTTCTCACCTGAGATGTTTGTGTACATGAATTGTACATCGAAACTCACCAACAGTTTCGTCCCCACCAGACTAATATTCTGGATCCTTCGAGAAAATTCATATGAATTCTTAACGGTATTTGAGAGTCTGTCATTTACTTTCTTGAGCTTCAAGCCAATGAGTTTAGCCAGTTTGTGCGTTGCTCCATGCTTGCTGTTGATCCTCAATCGTAGCACATCCCCTTCCTTGTGTATCTTCGGTAGTACGCAACCTTGCGGTGGTTTTGCGTCATTTTTGCTTAAAGATTTTATCTTCCATCTATCGATTTCCCCATTAATATTCATTTGCTTTAGCATATTCTTTAGTACCCCGTTGATCTTCATGATCGGATCATTTCTTACTATTTGATAAGTGTTCCAGTCGCCTAGGATACTTTCCATTTTCTCCATGTAATGTTTTTCCTCCATTATAACCGTCGCTCCTCCCTTATCCGTGTAAAG